TCCTTTTGAACATAAGTCGCTTTTGTTGTTTTGCTGTCACACAGAAGTGTTTCCATTGGGATTTCAAATGTAATATTTCTCTCCATAGAGAGTTTACGATGGCTGAGATTGAGCACTTTGTAGACCCGACTGAGAAGGTTCATTCCAAGTTTTCAAATGTTGCTGATCTGCAGATCATGCTGTACTCCTCCAAAGCACAGACTAGTGGGCAATCTGCCCAGATAATGAGGCTGGGTGATGCCGTGGAGCAGGTTAGTCAAGATCTCAATTATGATGCATTGATTAGAATTAACAGTTCGGTTGTTCTAACAAACTTTCGTACTGTGTGTAGGGGATCATCAACAACTCCGTCTTGGGCTACTTCATTGGAAGGATATACCTTTATCTGGTCAAAGTGGGTGTGGCAAAAGACAAGCTTCGTTTCCGTCAGCACATGGACAATGAGATGGCCCACTACGCCTGTGACTGCTGGGACGCCGAGACCAAAACCTCCTATGTACGTGCAGTGCTTGCTCGAGGATCTTCTGTGCAATAGAATAGGTGTTTATTTGTTTGTTTGCACATGCTCTTTTTCAGGGGTGGATTGAGATTGTGGGGTGTGCTGATCGCTCGTGTTATGATCTTCTGTGCCACGCACGGGCCACCAAAGTCCCTCTGGTTGCTGAGAAACCCTTGAAGGAACCCATATCCTTCAACTTCGTTCATTACTTTACTAATTACAATTGTCAAAGCGTTTGATTGGGATCTGAATAGTTCTGTTTGTCTTCAGTCAACTTCCTTAATTGCTCCACACAAAGTTGTAAATGTTGTCCAGTTCGAGCCAAACAAAGGAGCCATCGGCAAAGCATATAAGAAGGATGCCAAGTTTGCCATGGAGTACCTAGCCATCTGTGATGAATGCTATATCACAGAGAAGGAGAAACTCCTCAACGAGAATGGGTGAGCATCATCGATTTTAAAGTGGACATAGCATGAAAATCAGACAAAAAATGTCACAGCTGTCTTATAAAGACCTCAGGGAACTATCAATGTAACTCCACAACAACTACATAAATGTATCCACTACCCATTCAGAAACGTCCAGGTGCAGTCTAAAAGTTGAAACCTCTTCCTGAGTCTCTCCATAAGGTTGCACTCCACTACTTATTTCTGAAATTTGACTGAAATTCACGTGTTTTGTTATTGCCAGAGTATCCAAAGCTTGTGGAAAGGATTTTCATTTTTTCCATAGAAAAAAAATATACTATGGAAGTCAGTGAGACCAGAAACTGTCTGGTTACTGATATTTTTCTAAATATCAAAAAATCGTCTGAATACATTTGAAAATGGTAAAACCCAACTGTTTAACTCAGGGGGAGTGGTAAAATGAGCCTATTTCCAAAAAAAGTGGACTATCCCTTTAAGGTGACATAGTTACATTGTACTTACTCAAATAAGTACGGAGTAATATTAATTAACTATATGTTCTTACTATAGAGTTATCGTTATGCATAATCTACTGTTATTACTATAGTAAGTACAAGTAGTTATGTGTAACTACATCACCTTAAAATAGGGTTACCAAAATGTTTAATGTCAATAACCCCCAAATATGAAGATTCACTTTATAAAGGCAGTTTTTTTTTTATCAAAATGACAGTAAAAGTTGTGAAATATTATTACAATTTAAATTTTTTCATTTTTTTTTTTTTTTTTGAAAACATGTTTTTACAGCTATTTTAAAAAAAAGGGGCATACAAGCCCTTTGATATGTCCCATCCCAGCTTCCTTTTTTTAAATCATCAAATTAAGTCTTAATAAGTTTCCACTAATATGATTCTGTTCATTGATTGGTTTCCTCTGTCACTGCAGTGAATTCACCATTGAGACCGAGGGCAAGACTTTCAAACTCACCAAGGACATGGTTAATGTCAAGAGGTTCCAGAAGACCCTGCATGGTAAGAAGCAGAACCTAACCTTTTATGTCAGCATAACAAGAATATATAAAAGACATAAATAAACTTGAATTTATCCACAGTTGAGGAGGTTGTTCCTAACGTGATCGAACCCTCCTTCGGCATCGGAAGAATCATGTACTCCATCTTTGAGCACACATTCCGTATCCGAGAGGGTGACGAACAGCGAACGGTAAACGCATTATGCTGTAATATTCGGTAATTAATATGTTTGTCTTGCTTTATTTATGAACTTTGCTGCTTTCTCTGTTCAGTATTTCAGCTTTCCTGCAACTGTTGCACCATACAAATGCTCCGTCCTTCCATTGAGCCAAAATCAGGAATTTATGCCGTTTGTTCGAGAATTATGTGAGTTATAACGTCTGTACTTTATTTATAAAAATCCATCAATGATATCGAAATAATATTTGTAATAACTTTGCTTTGCTCTACAGCTGAATCCCTGACCAGGAATGGTGTCTCCCACAAGGTGGATGATTCCTCAGGATCTATCGGTAGGCGCTATGCCAGAACGGACGAGATCGGAGTGGCATTCGGTATCACCATCGATTTTGACACTGTTAATAAGACGCCACACACTGCCACTCTGAGAGACCGTGACTCCATGAGGCAGATCAGGGCTGAGGTAAAGCAGTTGTGGGCATTTTTGTGTCTTCATTTCATTTGAGTGAGCATTGGTGGTGACTATTTGCTGATGTGTACAACCTGATTATTTACAGGTTACCGAGTTGCCCGAAATTATTCGTGACCTGGCCAATGGTGCAATCACATGGGCAGAGGTGGAAAGCAAGTACCCGATCTTTGAAGGCCAGGAGACCAGCAAAAAGGAAACATTGGAGGATTAGGCTTTCTATTAGTCTATCTCATCTGCCTTTTCACTGGAGGCAGTCACAGACATTTTTACATCTGCATTTATAGGATCAAATTTATGGCCATTATAACGTACAACCATATGTTCCACACAACTGGAACCACTGTAATCAAGTACTCCTTTAAAACTCAAGGAAACTCTAAGGACCTAAGGATGACCGTAACTAGGTTACTGTACTAGTAAAAGGATTTCACCATTCCTGTTTGTGGGTTTATAAATGAAGACATGAATCTTGCATATGGTCAAATAAATCAAACCAGCACTTTCTGGACCTATACGAGTGTGTTTGGTCAGTTTTTGTTTGATCAAGTGGGTGTTCAGCATAAGATGCACTGATTTTGTTGGCCACGTGGGGGCATTAAAGCTACTTGATAATTGATTGTATGGATAAAATCTTTTTGACTCAAAGTCTGCTCATTGTTCAACACAAGGCTCGCTTGTATTTAAAATATTTTTTTAACGGAAACTGGGAGTATTAATATTTAACTATCTGCGATTCATTTTGTGACTTTATTTTATATAAATAAAATTCCATTCTTGATCTTGTTTTTTTTTTCTTTTTTGTAATTTAGACCATTTTAATAACCTTAAAAGTATTAATTATTAGACCATTTTAATAAACTTAAAAGTATTAATAATTAAGTACTTTTTATTCATCTTGAGGCCTCTTAGTGGGACTTGGGTTGAAAACCTCTCGTTTTTAATGTTTGTCAGGACTAAGGACATATGACATTGTTCTGCTTAAAAACTAAATTGCTGAACAGCCAGATCTTACTAAATTAAGTCATTATTGCTAAAGCTGGTATTTCAGGTGTTTCAATGTAAAACTTACACTAAAACATATGATCAATAAGTTATGACAACATGTTTTTTTTACATAGTTTTACTTACATTTTATATATTTTTTTTACATATGATTTAAGCAATTTTCACATTTTTTTTTCATAAGTTACTAGTAGAACTTAGGTTGAAAACCACTAGTTTTTAATGTTTGTCAGGACAAAGGTGTTGTGGATGTTAGATATGTTTACATATGACATCGTTCTGCTTTAAAACTAAACTGCCCAACTGCCAGATCTTACTAAATTAAGTCATTATTGCTAAATCTGGTATTTCAGGTGTTTTTAATGTAAAACTCACACTAAAACATGATCAATAAGTTATGACAACAAGGTTTTTTTTTTACATTGTTTTACTTAAATTTTATATAATTTTTTACATATAATTTAAGCAATTTTCACATTTTTTTCATAAGTTATACAAGATTCAACTATTTTTTTTTTAATTTAACGCAATTAAAGTTGGAAAGATTTAAATATACAAGTTGCTTGTCCTTAAATTTAAGGCAACAACTTTTTTGTTACCGTGCAAAGACAATAGCTTAATTTAGAACTAAGTAACTAAGATTGAAGATGGGCTAAGATAAACATGTTTTATTTTGGAATGGAATGATGTTTATTTAGATTTGAAGATAGATAGGTGCCCCAGCCCAAACGGTCAACCAAATATGATCATACAAAAACAGCCTTGACCCTGACAGAAACAGGTGTGGAAGTGTGTGAATGCATGCCACGGCTCCTGGCTTTTCTTAAAGGCTGTTAAACAAGTAATAGCCTATAATACATTTCAGTTACATTAAGGGACTGTAACAGTGCTCTTTAATAATATGCTGGATTGTGCTGGATTCGGACCAGACTCGTGCACAAGTGGTAGACAGTGTAAACGACTTGTCCAAGACTGTTATATACAGTAGCTTAAATCATCTACTGTGTCTTATCAGAGTTTAATTTAGGCTACCATAACCTAAAATGCCTTCTCTAGTTGACCCCTGACCTATGGAAAACCAGCTATTTCTGTCTTAACAAAAGCAAAACTTGCCATTGCAAACCCATGCTTCTCAGGTAAGGTTTTATATTTCTTGTATTTCTTGTATATTTATATAAATATTTCATAGCCTATAATGTTTCCGTTTATAATTGTGTGTATATATTTATGTTACATACTTTTTCTAACCCATCTTCTATTTCTTATGCCGGACATTCAGTATGCAAGCAATGGAGGTCCAAGCCTGTTTCTATTGATACAACATGGCACAATGGGCCCGCCCCCCAATGGGCAGCTTCAGATGAATATAAATACATCTCCTGTTCACCTTTAACTGTCCGCAACTGCCCAACAGGCAGTTTGTGCACCCAACTGACACCTTGTAGAAACAGCGAGGATGCATTAGACTATTATTTTGCTCATCTTTTCTTTACATTTTTGTGATTATTTTAAGTTCAAGTGGATTTTTCAGTATTTCAAAGGCCCTCTGGGTTACGGTGGCATTGCTGTGCTCAAGGTTAGTATAATAGGTGTTTCTAAAATCTGCTTGGCACCTCCATGCAGCTCATGACCCGCTAACATTTAACCAAGTAATAATCTGCTCACTTACTAGCATGGTTCTTCAGGTGAAATCTCACAATAACAAACATCACAACAACAACAACAAGGCAGGCCTTGTTATTTGAGTTCATGCCTTTAAATTATTAGATAAATAGACAAAAGAATAATCTGCTGGTTAGAAAAGAAAGCATTTGGCTGAAATGTACAAGTGATGCTTCAGTCAATACAATGAGAGCAGAAAATAGCTTAGCTAAAAATAGCATGCTCTCACATAGTGTAGATGCTTCCTGCTCACACAATTCAAATCATTGGAAACTTCTGCCCTGCCCAGAAAGATCAAATTCTTTTTGGTTTTATTCATTTATTTTTTGTAATAAAGTGTTGATATTAATATATAATGCGGTTACACTTAGAAAATACACATACAACATTGTACTAACTATAAGTAACTTTGCAACTACATGTCAACTAGCAGTCTTCTGACTATAAGTGACTTTGCATGCACAGGTCAACTAACCCCATTCTACTAGTACTCTTATGCGAGTTAGTTCATGTATAGTAGTTGCCAAGTTGCTTATAGATAGTAGAATGTCTAGTGGACTGATATTTATATTTATGCAGTTTAACAGATTTTTTATCCATTTACAGATTTACAAACACTCGCAACATACATTTTATTAATTCATGTGCTCCATGTGAAGCCAACCTATGACCTTGCTATTGCTAACGTCATGTTCTACAAGTTGAGCTACAGTAACATTGCAATATTTCTTTCACCCCATAGTAGATTACCAATTACCAAGGTTTATTTTTAGTAGGATCTTAAGCACTCATTGGCGGTCTTGGTTGGGAAATATTTTAATGGCCAAATTTGACACCAGATTTGTTTCTTCATTCAAACTGCACCTTAGGTTGTCCTGTGTACAATGGGGGTCAAAGCAGCTCTTCCGAGGTATGAGCTCTACGTGTACAATGTGGTGCTGTGTATGGCAATGCTCTGGGCTGCCCGATGGATATTTGACGTGTCCAGTTGTAAGTATTAATGAACATATGTTCTGATGGGACCATAAAATTATGTCACTGTAAGAATAAAGTTTCTGGATTGGTTTCTGTGAGGCTTTTTAACATTTTTCTGTAACATCCACCTGAGCTCCTTTTCTCACTCATAAATGTATTTACAACCACACTGTGAAAAGTGATCAGATGGTTAAAAAGTGAGAAAACCAGTTGCCTTAACATGATTAAATAAATTTCATGCATAATTGGAAAAAAAAAGTCCAAAGTCCAATTTGAACTTGACAATGGGAAGTTGTCAAGTTCACTTAACTTAATGTTTTCAATTACTTAACTTAATTAAATCAAAGTGTATTTACTTAATCACTTTAAGGCAAGGGTTTTCCTCAGTCAACTGATCACTTTTTGCAGAGCAAAGAAATAGAGCTACAGTTTGCTGTATGAGGAAAAAGACTTGCCTCAGAAAGCTATGCAAAGTACGCAGTGGGATCATATGTCAGTATTAATATATACCAAGAGACTGAACAGAGAAAGAGAAGAGAAAGAGAAAGGTACTATTGTGGGTTCATGATCAAATTTGCATTTACATTCAATATACAGTAATAACATCATTGAATATGCAGTTTTTTGCATTCTTATAATATACACATCAATGTTTTTTTTTAAAGGGGGGGGTTTACTGCTTTTTTTCTTTGCATGATTGTGTTTATGGGGTGCAATATAACATGTATTCGTAGTTTTTCTTTTTTTAAAAGTCTTATTTTTCATAAACTTCGCCTTTATTGTAAGCCGCACTCTCCTCTGTCATATAAACGACAGGTCGACTTCCTGAGTCTATGAAACCACTCCCTCAGAAACAGGCAGTGGGCTCAGATTGGTTAGTTTGGGCTGGTGTGTGGTGATTGGCTAAACTGTCGCTCACGTTGTCCGGATGGTTAACGCCCATTACCTTTACGGGCGAAATGTGTCTGCGCTCCGGTCCAGATATAAATAATGGTCGATAATTAGTGATGGGCAGCTCGAGGCTTTGTGAAGCAATGAAACAGTTGAAGCAAATGTGCTAAATAGTTTCGAGGCTTCGAATCAATCTGACACCCGTCTCCATGGCGACACCTAGTGGCGCAGGTGTTGATCTGAAACAACCTTTACAACGAGCCATTAAAAAATGTGTTGTTTTTTTATTATTGTATTGCTTATACAAGCATATATGATGCTTGTAACCTGTAGTCTCTTCACATTGCATAATGTTATTTTGGTCATGAAACATTAATATTAATAAAACAAATCAACTTTCTTATAGATTTTTATTTAAAAATATTCATTTCTCTGCTGTTCTTTCTATTAATCTGTCTATATATACTGTGTATATATATATATATATATATATATATATATATATGGGGGGGGGGGTCTTTTTTATCAAAAGCATGCTTATACAGTGGCGTAGATCGTAGAGCGTGTAAAAAGTTAGTTAGTGAAAGAGCTATTGATGCGCTCGAACCCAAATTCAATTCAGCCTTTTGCTGAACATATGAGATGTAAAAACTTTATTTAACATGGTCTCTAGCGTTATATTTTGCCAATTAACTAAAATCGAAACCATTATATGGCTTTTTGCCTTCATAAAACACCACAAGACTTTATAGGCATTCTGTGTGCACTTTGCTCACGCGATAAGTATGTTTGTGTGATCTTTCCCGAACGACCTAACTTACCTAACAAACCGTGACGTGGGTGTTTTGAATCACGCTTCGGATCAGTGTTTCGAATCATCTGCGCTTCGGGATCTCGCAAAGCTTCGGAATGTCTGTTTCGCGTCAGCCATCCTTATCGAAATGCCGTATCAGTTTGAGGCAGAATCAGACCGAGAAAGCGGCGATGAGGAGAGTCGAGCAGAACCTCACCACACACGCCTCTCACTAAACGTTTCTGAATGATAGTTAACATTAGCTACATTTTTTAACTTTATACACGTTTGTTTAACACAAGCATGACTGGCAACAAAAGCAACTGACTGGCTAGCGTTAACGTTACTAATATTACACTCAAACAGCGTTAGCATTAGTTAATGTTCTTGATCAAATCGAAAATAACGTCATAAAGCATATATGCATGGAAAAATACGTTTAAAACATTAGTACAAAATTCAGGTCCATAACATGCTTGTACGCGTTTGTCGTAGACACAAAATAGCATAACTGTTACTAGTAGCTAGTGGCTATAAAGCCAGCGCTGGTATTTGAAAAAAATAAAACAAGGCTATGTCTGGAATCATACATGCAAATACATTTAAAATGATTAAGTCTTGCTTACCTACAGGTTGTGGCTCAACAACTGCTTGTTTTAAAGTTGGAACTGCTTCATGTTTTAGTTGTTGAATGGGCTCTATGCACGGCGGTATTTCCGGTGAAGGTGTAAGGATGTTTGATAACTTCCGCCGATCGTAGAGTCCAATGCAATACCGAGAATTTATATTGAATTTTATACTCCATGGTTATACTAAAGAAACGTTAGTCACAAAAACAGACATCCCTCGTTGTGTTTATGCTTCTTTTAAAAATTATATTAAATAAACATAACTATATATAAAATTACATCTAAACGTATGAAAGTTTCGTTTTAAAGACGGTTGGCAGTACATTTTGAAGACTCTGCAATAATCCCGTTTTCCTCAGTTTTCCTCCACTTTAATCTCCCCAATCGGAAACTGAGCATCCTTGCGTCACTTATGCGTGCATATAGGCCATTGGAGATTCTGGAAGCTGTCTCTCGTAAAATGCGCAGCACAGAGAGCTAAATTATGATCGCCATTTTCAGGAACATAATCAAACATAAATTGTATCCATTGTTGACAGCGTCCGTGGGAAGCTCAAACACAGAAGACCTGACAGCTGGATGAACACAACACACTCGATGAGCCGCAGAAATATCCGCATGCCCTTTTTTACATTTTCCGGAGGGAGGGTTGATGCAAATGTGTGGGTTAGTGATGTCTAAAACCTAGACCTAATCGGGTCGTTTTTGTAGGCAACATACTTCCTGATTTTTAAAAGAGAATATCTCTGCTTACACTGAACTTTCAGCGCTGCAACTTTGCAGATACTGTTCATGCGCCAACAGCAACATCACACACTATTTAAAAATGAAAAAAGTGAAATTGCAATCAACCCCCCCTTTAAGAATTAAATGGCTGATAGGTATTATTGTGGGTTTATGACAGAAACTACTAAATTTGCATTTATATAATTAGTGCTGTCAAATCAATTAATCACATCTAACCATAAAAGTTTATATATATATATATATATATATATATATATATAGTGTATATATATACACACAACACACAAACTTTTATGTTTGATGCGTTTAATCACGAATAATCGATTTGACTATGCTAGTAATAATATCAATGAATAAGCAGTTTTTTTGCATTCATGTATTTACAGTACATCTTTTATTCGGAGCATTACATGACTTTATGATTCTTTATTCAGCAAATTCCAACAAAAAAACCTTCAAGATCACTGTTCAGCCAGGATGGTACTACTCTGGCAGAAAAATGGTGAGATTTTGTATAATTTCATACTGGATCTGAATATTGTTGTGATGTGGACTCATGTGGATTTGTGGAATGTGGATTCATCAGTGTCGCTCTGCAGGATACGGCTGACGTCGAGTGGATGATGTGGTTCTCCACCTTCAGAGTGCATATCATCTTTGCACTCTCAGGTCATGTGATCTTTGCCAAGATCTGCTCCTTGCTGGCTCCGCAGGTGGCTCTTGAAAGTCCAGACACATCTGTGTTACATGTGACACTATTGACTAAATTCATCACTCCATACGGCCAACCTGAGAGGCTCATTCTCTAATTTTTTCCCCATCCCACAGTACAGATCTCTGGTGTTCATGGTGTACGGTATGCTGGCAGTTTTCACCAGTATGGGTTGGGCTTACGTCATGCTCATCCTGTCCCACTGTGTGCTGCTCTATAGCATCTCTCTGGTCAAGCTCAGGTGGCTCTGCTTCGTTGCTGGACTCACTACATTGGCTACTTTCAAAATGGAGCCCTTCATTTCCTGGCAGGCATGTCACTGACACTGTAAAAATATAAAAATGTAAATAGTGCTACAGTAAAGCTATAATATTTAATGGAAAAAAAAATTAAATCTAAATGTTTATGTTATAAATATAATTTGTTAATTATAAATTAAAGTTATAATTGTTTTTTTATATTCTATATTATTATTATTATCAAAATGAAAAGATATATTTTATTAATAAAAATAAACAAATAAAATGTTTATAAATGTTATAGATTTTTTTATTATACATTTCTATTTAAAATAAATAAGCAAATAAACTAAAAAGAAATTACGTTATTATCATTCATTATTATTACTTTTTTATTTATTATTTTTTATGCCAGTCAGATTATTTATTATTAGTACTAGTAAAACATTTTTTATAAAGGTTACATATTTTAAATTATAAATTGTATTTAATAAATAATAAAATAAAAAACAATAATTACCATATTGTCATTAACTACTATTGCTTATTGTTTTTATTATTAAAATAAAGTGAAATCTAAATGTTTATAAATTATGATGAAGACAATAATGATAATCATTGTTTTTTATTTTAATAAAAAAATCATTCTCATTATTCATTATTAAAATAACAGAAACAAATAAAATATATTGAACAATATATATATATATATATATATATATATATATATATATATATATATATATATATATAATTATTATTATTTGTGATTATGATTGTGTTAATTTGAGATGGCTCATCTTTCAGGCAGGTTTTGTGACTGGCAATTTTGATTTCCGTCCTCTTCTGTTTTACGGCGGCTGTGGTTTCACTGTCATGCGCTGTATGAGTTTCGCTCTTGAGAACTGTGAGAGAAAAGACGGAAACTACAGCATCCTGGAGCTTCTCAAGTACAACTTTTACCTCCCCTTCTTTTACTTCGGACCCATCATGACCTTCGACAAGTTCTACATTCAGGTCTGCAGCTAAATTTACCGGATTAAACAATTGTTCGATTATTTTCCAAATGAATAGCGTTGCCCTTTGACACCCCACCAGGCCAATAACCCTGACCTGACGAGGAAGGACGGGGAGATGTGGAACATTTCCATCCAGGGCCTGCTACACCTGGGGGTTATTATGATAGTGGCAGTCCTCTTTCACTTCATGTACATTCTGACCATTCCTAATGACATGAAGCTGCTTAAACACATCTCTGACTGGGCCCTCGGTAAGCATGTGTGTGTTAGTATTCACTTACTTTGCTCCATTTTTTCAATGGCCAAATGACTACCATAGCCTTTCTCTTCTTACTCTACTTAGTTGGATTGGCCTACTTAAATCTGGTGTATGATTGGGTGAAAGCGGCAGTGATGTTTGGAGTGATAAACACAGTATCAAGACTGGATCACCTGGACCCTCCCAAACCCCCGAAATGCATTACAATGCTTTATGTTTTCTCCGAGACGTGAGTGAGCCCTTTTTTTTTTTTTAATTTTTCATAAATTGTTATTGATATAGTCAGTAAAACAAACCTAAATTCATCATTCTAAATTGATGAAACCATTCCATTTTTTTACAGACACTTTGATCGAGGAATAAACGAATTTCTATGCAAGTATGACTGACATTGTTACATATCAGACTTTTAAAGGGGAAAGTTCACCCAAAAATGAAAATTCTGCCATCATTAGTTGTTCCAAACCTTTATGAGTTTCTTTCTTCTGTTGAACACAAAAGAATGTCGGTAACCAGACAGTTGACTGTAGCCAATGACTTCCATAGTGTTTTTTTTTCTCCTATGGAAGTCAATGACTACAGAGTACAGTCAAATGTTTGATTACCAACATTCTTTAGAAGATCTTCTTTTGTGTTCAACAGAAGAGGTTTGGAAACACTTGAGGGGGAGTAAATGATTTTGGGTGAACTAACCCTTTACACAATGCTTTCAAGCATCAGTATTTTAACAAAGAATGCTGTCATCTCCATAGGTATGTTTATAACTATCTAGGCGGAAAACATGAGGATGTTTTGGATGAGCTGATAGCCTCTCTGTGCACGTTTGGCATCACGGCCCTCTGGCTGGGACCAAGCTGGGTGGTTTTCATCTGGTCTTTCTTAAACTGCTTTGGCCTTAATTTTGAATTGTGGACCGCAAAACTCTTCTCCATGGAACCTTTTATTTCAATTGAGGTAAGTTAAAGAAATATGACCAGTAATAATTTGCTGGATGTTGTAGTCAGGTACTCAATTCAAAGTCCTAATGATAATTAGTGCTTCAGGGCTTCCTCTAGTGGTTAAATATTATTTTGTTTGTGCTAAAAAGGCCTTCTACTGCTCCACCTGGTGGTTGGATAAATATTAAATTACTGGTAACAAATGTTTACTTCCACCAACAGATGGCGATATCAGATTCTATGTCGCGCAGGATCAGGGCTGTGTTTAATACCTTCAACTTCTGGACAATTGTCCTTTACAATGTCCTGGCCCTGAAAAGTCTTGAATTTGCCAAACTGGTTGCAAATAGATTGTTACTTAAAGGTAAAGTACTGAGGTGGTACTTGAGCAATTTAAATGCATTTTAAAAACCAAAAGATTTGATGTTTATCAAACTGTATTTTGTTTGTCAGGTTTCCCTTTCACCACCATCACTGTGATGTTCGTCACCTACTGCTTGATTCAGCTGATTAAGGAAAAGGAAAGAAGACAAGCTTTGATTGACGATCCAGACCCAATCCCAATCCCAATCCCAATCCCAATCCCACCTCCAGCTCCTGTTCCTGCACCCACTTCCACAGACCCCAGCATCACCCAGATGGACGCTGCTGCCACCCAGCCTGTGGACCCAAACAAGCAAAAGGCAGAGTAGAGATTACACATGATGATTATATATATATATATATAAAAAAAAACGGAATGGTTTTCTTACACATTGTGTGTACCATAGTCTAGAAATAGGGAGAAAGAATGTTTACTAACCAGACTGTAATGTAAGATGCTGCAATCCAAACCACTATTTACATTTTTACAGAATTTCTCAACATTACAGACACTACAGTTTTACATATGTAATAGGATTTTCAAATGAGTGCTTTGTAGTTAAAAACATAGATGATCGACTTTATTACTACTAATTTTATTACCAAGTTTTAATTTAAATCAAATACAAATACCCAGTGTTCATACAAGTAGTTATTACTGCCTGAGGTTGAAAATATGTGGTTAGTAAAGGCCCTCCATTGACAGCCTATGCAACTACCACTTTCAAGCCCTAGAAAGGTAGTGTCATAAAGGTAAAGACATCATAAAAGTAATAAAAGTTGTATGAAGTTGCATCACTTCATAAAACTGAGGTTAAACCACTGGAGTCACATGGAATACTTTAATGATGTCTTTACTTTCTGAGGCTTGAATGTGGTAGTTGCATAGACTGTCAACGGACTGACAGAAATCTCTCATATTTCATCAAAAATATCTTCATTTGTGTTCTGAAGATGAACAAAAAACTTACGGGTTTGGAATGAGACGAGTGTGAGTAATTGATGACAGAGTTTTTAGGTGAACTAACCCTTCAAATTAAAATAATGGACTGAAGATCACAAAGATTACTTTTTTGAAGTTGTAATATCTATTAAAATAATCTTCATTAATGACCATGTGTATGTCTCTTTGTCAGCTTGCTAGTTCTTTTCGAAGCTTTTCATGTTTCAAGTTCTTATTGACACAGATTGATCACAGAGGACATGGTTGCTTAAATTAAACTGTGACACTTCACAAAAGCATGAATGCCATTGAGAACGTTCATGATGTTCTTTGATGTCATGAAACCCTTTTCACTCGAGGATATTTATATTAACTGGCATTAGCTCTATTTGTTTAACCGTTAAGGTAACCAATGACCACATGTAAACTATTGATATTCTCACCAGTGCCAATTTGGGGAACAGTTGATATTAACCAGATATTTTTTTGTGACCTGGGATGTCATTCACTAGTCTCCTCCTCATTCATTTTTTGAAGTGAGACATGATTTTGAAGATGTTAAAAATGTATAGTTTTGAGAATATGTTTGAGATCTTGAATATGAGCTAGATGGCAGTGATGATGGTATAAAACATCTGCTCAAACTGAATCCTTCCAAGCAACTTAACTTACACAATAACTTCCGGAGGTCAACAAGCACAAAAGGCTTTGGAATAATATAAGATTATTTGGTAACACTTAATTTTAAGGTGACGTTGTTTATTTGCTTGCAATTATGCATTATTTACTGTACATTATTAACTATTTACTGTAATTACTATAGTAAGTACATGTAACGTGTAACTATGCCGCCTTAAAATAAATTGTTACCGATTCATAATTTTTGGGCCATTTTTCAGGTTGGGATCTTTTGGCGCTTTTCCACTGTATGGTACGGTACGGCACGTTTTGGCACCTTTCCACTGCATAGTACGGTTCGGCTCGCCTCGGTACGACGTACTTGTGGCTGCATGGTACGGTACGGCTCGCTTCGGCTCGCTTTAAATGGTGCCACCTCTGTTGAGGTTCCAAGCATACCGTACCGATACTAAAATGTGACGAGAACACACTGCTGACCACTGATTGGTCAGAGTCAGAGAGAATCGTCCATACTAGCGTCATTGTATTTGCGAGACATCAAACCCGCTAGATTGAAATAGCCAGTAACAGCCACCACTGTAGCACCTGTTTTAAAACTACTTGCTTGACTTGCTTGAAGATAAAAGAAAGAAAGAAAACTGAATCGAGATCAGTGGACGAAGTGCAGACGTTCCTCTCGTTGGTTGCAGAGGAGCGGATAAACTATAATCCCACCCACTTTGAAGCGGTACTAACTGCAGTGGAAAAGCAAATCGTGCTAAAGCGAACCGAGCCGAGTCGAGACGTACCGCGCAGTGGAAAAGCGTAACGATCCGAACCGTGCTGCGCCGAACAGTACTGAGCCGTACCAGCAGTGGAAAAGCGCCATTTGATACCAAATGTATGGAAAGTTAAGTATTTTAAGCAATATTACAAGATGCGAATCCCTTTAATAAAATAACCCATCATCAATAAAATAGTCTATAAAATTAATAAATCATGAGGGTGATTCATGATCTCATAAAGGTCCTATCTAGTGGCCTGTGATCTCACCCAGAAGGCCAGTGCTTCTTCTGACTGCTGTCTTTCCCATGGGGAAGTGTGTCAGCTGTTGCACAGGACAGGGGGTTGTGTTTCACATGTACAAGTATGGATTTCACATCTTTGTGAAGGATCTATAAATAGCCCCCAGTTGGAGTTTGGTTGAAGCATTGGGACAGCTGATGAAGCCTGAAATCCTGACGGCAAAGCGGAACTGTTTCAACCCTGCCTCTTCTTTCTCAACCCCTAACAGAAGTGCGGAAGAGAGAGCACTGGACTAGCCATTAGGGATAGTACGCGATCAATATGGCTATACCTATAGATCCCATGGAGGAGCCACGCATGTACCAGCAAACCCTGCTGCAAGATGGTCTATACGATCTTCTGGAGAGCGATATGATGGTTGACTGCGTGTTGAAGATCAAAGACAAAGAGTTTCCATGCCACCGTTTAGTCCTGGCTGCTTGCAGCTCGTACTTCAGAGCTTTCTTCAAGTCAGGTATGGAGGAGAGTAAACAGAAGGAGATCGTACTGGAGGATGTCGAGCCTGGTGTCATGGGATGATCTTGAAGTACCTCTACACCTCGAACATCAATGTGACGGAGCAAAACGTGCAGGACATCTTCGCCTTGGCCAACATGCTTCAAATCCCCTCGATTTTCACTGTATGTGTCTCGTTCCTGCAAAAGCGATTGAGTTTGAGCAACTGTTTGGCGATTTTTCGACTAGGACTGATGCTGGATTGTCCTCGTCTGGCCATATCTGGGAGGAACTTTGCTTGCGAGCGCTTCCAGCTTATTGCCCGGGATGAAGAATTCCTGCAACTGACTCCAAGCGAATTGGCGGCCGTTATTGCGTCTGACACTTTGAACGTAGAAGCGGAGCAAGATGTTTTTGAGGCTTTGATCAAGTGGGTTGGACATGACCAAGAAAAGAGGCTGAAGGACCTACCGAGTCTGCTGGACTGCATCAGATTACGTCTGGTTCCTCAGGACTACTTCACCAAAAATGTGGAGGAACATGAATGGTTGAGCTCGAACCCAGAGATCATGAAGAAACTGCAACTGGTCAAAGACGCCCATGCTGGGAAGCTTCCAGAAGTCAAGAAGACCAAAAGCAAAAAGAGTGATGGTGAGGAAGGACAGAAGGAGGGAGATGAAGAGGAGGAAGAAGAGCAGGAGGAGCTACTTCCAGGCATCTTGAATGACAATCTGCGATTCGGGATGTTCCTGAGAGACTTGATCTTCATGATCAATGACACTGCATCGGTGGCTTATGACCCAACGGGAAATGATTGTTATGTGGCGGCAATCTCAACCCAAATCCCTAAAAACCACTGCAGTCTGGTCACAAAGGAAAACCAGATATTTGTGGCAGGTGGACTCTTTTTTGATGAGCAAAGCAAAGACGAACAGATCTATTCATACTTTTTGCAGGTAAAAGACTAGTTTCCCTTTACTGATTTAGTGCAGTCTAATTTTCATTCATTCTTTTCTCAGAATCATTCACACTGTAAAGTTTATGTGGTCTAAAAAAATCTTTGACAACATTAATAAACAGATCAGCATGTTTTTGCATCTTACCCAGCTATATTTACCAAGTTGGATTTAAGTGAGTGATACTTTCTATGAAACGATATAGTAGTCATAGTCAAGTGCAGGAGACATCACAATTTGAACATTGAAACCTAACCAATAACAACATTGTGGATAAGTTGTTATTCTGTCAAGACCACTATCGTCAAATACGATTAACAATTAGCATACAGTTTGGATTGGCGGTATGGTTCTGTTCTGGGTGAGAAGTCCCTGTGCATCCATGCAGCCTAGCATGGATAAGAGCAGGGACAGCAGCAAGGGTAAACAGAACAGATCCAACTTGAATGTATTGCAGATATCATCAATTAATTTTAATGCACAACATAACTAGAGAATCTTAGTCTGATTCAGGGGTAATTAGAATGCCAAATCCTGACTGACGAGAGGAGGAGCTGGGGAGGGAGAAGGGTAATTTGCTCTTGAGAAACGCGATAGCTGCTGATAGGCTACTGAAGGAGCTTATATACTGTGTTAGACGTGGTATTCCTATAGGTAGACGTGGATCAGCTGATGTAAGCTTGACTAATGTGACCTGCCAGAACTGACGCTACTCTTGATTTATTAATAACACACACACACACACACAAACTCCCTGCAATGTTTATAGAAGATTAGTAATTGGTTCCCAAAGAAACATCCAAACTGAAACCATACCCTAACCCTTTGTGTTTGTTGGGAATGACTTCTCCGTTAACAGACATTGACATCTTTTCTGTGAAACCTGAAAGCTTTGGCAAAACTTGAAAAACCAACAGGTTTTAGTTTTGTTATTTGCTAGCTGGTTTCAAGTAGTATTAGGCCATGTCCACAGCACGGACACGGGTATTTTTATAACCGCGACTTTTTTTACGCGGTTCGGCCGTTCGTCCACACGGAAATGCAGAATCAGGACACTGAAACAGAAAATTTTTGAAAACCCCTGCCACGATGATGATTTTCAGAAACGCCAGTTAGAGTGTTGTCGTGTGGACAGTAAAACCGGGGTTTTTGCCTTGCAACGTCAGCGCCGTTATCCGCCTACCGGAACCTGTAAAAACTTTTTGTTATGCTTCTGATTGGCCAATGTGGCTTTACGGTAAGGGTTATATCACCGCCTGCTGGTGTGGCATGCTCTTGACAGTGCTTGATGACGTGTTTTTGCGTTTTCATGT